TATTTATGTATTATTTACACACTTTTCCTGAAGACAGAAGTGTTTGCTGAAACTGACGTGGCATGCTTGTATGAGCCCTTCGTACGAAAAAAGTAGGAGAAATTTAGGATAAGAAAACAAATTATTCCATATTTTCCTAACAGAGCACTTTGCTCTCAGACTACAGGTTCACCTGAAGTTCCTAGAGTTTGTAAAAGTAGAAGCAGTGGGAAGCAGTTTTCAGTTATCAGGCTCCTCTGAGGAGGGGGTTGACAACAGACTGTAGGCTGTGGGGACAGGCAGAACATGAACTTGCCCTATATGTCTGTATAWCTGCAAAATGAGGGAAAATCTGTGTAATTTACGAACAATTTGTACAAGTTGACATGTATGAAGGTTGGTCATGTTTTTGTCTGTTGGGCTTTTGTTTTCAGCATCTGAACAAAAAGTTTAACACTGACGTTCCACTTGTCCTGATGAATTCCTTCAACACTGACGAAGACACAAGGAAGATCCTGCAGAAATACACACACCACCGGGTGAAAATTCACACCTTCAACCAGAGCAGGTACAGCCACTCACACTGTTATCAGTTGAGAAAGCTTTGTTTTTAGACCAATTTGCACTGTTACTGTAAGAAAACCTAGAGCTTTATCAGACAGCTTTATCATAAATACATAATATAGATTTGAAACGTAATTAAAACTTGATGCATTTTAAGAAGATTTTATTCCCTTCATTGTGTTTTAAATTCATATGCTTCTCCAATCTCCAGTCATACGGAGCTTCAACTCACACCTCCAGGAGAACTTCGAACACGTTCCGGGGGAGGTGGGGGACATTGAGTCCGAGTGGGCCACGTTCCGTACCTCCATTGTCGAGGCGGCTTACCTGAGCTGTGGCCATAAGGTTGTCGGTGCCTGTCGTGGCGGCAGCCCTCGAATCTGCTGGTGGACATCGGTGGTGAGGGTTGCTGTCAGGCTGAAGAAGGAGTCCTATCAGGTCTTTTTTGGCCTGTGGGACTCTGGAAGCAGCTGATAGGTATCGGCAGTCCAAGCGGATTGCAGCTCGGGTGGTCACTGAGGCAAAAACTCAGGCGTGGGAGGAGTTCAGAGAGGCCATGGAAAAAGACTTCCATGTGGCTTTGAAGTGATTCTGGTCCACCATTCGGCGTCTCAGGGGTGGGGGGAAAGCAGTTCACCACCAACACTATTTATGGTGGGGATGGTACACTGCTGAGCTCAACTTGGGACGTTGTGGGTCGGTGGGCAGAATACTTCGAAGACCTTGGGGCGGCTGTGGCGGAGTGGTTAAGGGAGTCGTCCTGGAACCGGATGGTCGCTGGCTCGATCCCCCCGTCCAGCCGTCTCAGTCATTGTGTACTTGGGCAAGACACTTCACC